TATGGGAGGCCCCAATGGAGATCGTAATAGGGACAGTTTCGTGGGTTATAAGCGGTTGTGTGAGTGGTCTACCATCAATAGCCTCTACAGCTAGCGGCGTAGGTCTCTCCCTGACCGGTATCTCATTACCCCTAATAAACTGGACATCAATAAAATTTCCAGCAGCACCTGAGTCCATTAGGGCACTGCAAGAAAACTTCTTGTTATCAAGGGAAATAGATACCTCAAGGAGGAATCTACTTTTGTTTTTGTTAGAGGACAACTCCATCACACCTAAGATCTGTCCCCTTAAGGTTCTTAGGTGCGGAAGTTTTCCGGACGCACTGGACAATTAGTTATCATATGTCCCTTTCTACCGCAATATAGGCATAACCCCTCCCTTCTCCTATACTGTTTTTCGGCCTCTGACAGTCTAGTGACCCCCAACTGCATAGGTTCGGGTTCGGACTGTACAGGGAGGTTAGAAAAAACAGGTTTAGAGAATTGAGGTGCTAGGGACATAGCCGTACGTCTGGTCTTGCTTCTGGTGACTTCTCTGAGTCTTAACCTATTATCAATATGCATGACAAACATAATAAATTCGTTAAGACTCTTAGGTAATTCTTTTGCGGCTATCTCATCTATTATAGTCTCTGAGAGACCCTTTTTGAATGCTGAGATTAACCCATTGTTAGTCCAGTCTACCTCGGAAGCTAAGGTACGGAATTCAATAGCATAATCCGAGATAGACCGGTTACCTTGTCTGATGTGCATTAGGGCAGTGGAGGCATCATCCTCTCTACCCAATGGCTCAAACGTGAGCTTGAATTCGGCAAGGAATTCCTGGTAATTATGAGCTATGCTCCGATTACTCTCCCACAATGGATTAGCCCAGGCAAGGGCCTTTCCCTTTAATTGATTCATTAGATAACCAATTCTTGCTCTGTCCATGGGGAATGACCCTGGTGAGGCCTCAAAATGGTACTCCACCTGATTAAGAAAACCCCTGCATTCATGGATATTGCCATCAAACTGTAGAGATGGTGATAAGGAGATGCTAGGAGTCATATTAACAGTGGGTGGAGGTACACAGGGTAGAAGTGCTATAGGAGGAGACGCTGCAGGCTGCAGATGCTCCGTTCTAGCGAGAAGCGTACTTAAAGCCTGAGTGAATTGATCCATGCGGTGATCATTCTCCTCTAATTTCCTCTCGCAAGCAGCTATGTGCTGACACAGTTCTACAGGATCTATGGCCATGTCGTAATGTCAGGATTACTGTTTGATCCAGCACGTAGAACTGTACAGCACGGATGACAAATAAGTAACGTATTACCGGTCCTTAGAATGGCCGGATTTAACGTACAAAGAATAGTCAAAAATACTAGCCGAGGTCAGGGAACACAGAAAGGGACACAGCGATGAGGAAAGCCAGGAGTCAGGATACCAGAATATAGAGAAGTCAATAAACAAAGCCAAAGTCAAAAACCAGGTAGAAAACTATAAACAGGAACGCGCTCTCGGACAACCACAAGGGAAACCACGACAGGGCACTGAGCAGGCTGAGAACTGGGCCTAAATACCCCTCCTTTCTTTCTGATAGGCTGTAACCGGCCTTTGACCCCAAAGTCAGTTACCAGGTTTCATTTGCATAATTGCTGCTCAGCATTAACCCTTCTGTGGATTAGGTTGCTGCTCGGCACAACTTTTCCTGTGTGGACAGTAAATGTCATTAACCACTTTTCTATAAGCGGATGAATACATGAGACCAGGTTTCATTTGCACAATTACTGCTCAGCATTAAACCTTCTGTGGATTAGGTTGCTGCTCGGCACAACTTTTCCTGTGTGGACAGTAAATGTCATTAACCACATTTCTATAAGCGGATGAATACGTGACAACTGCTCCTTCAAACCTCTACCCAACCACCCTTCCCTCTCTTTCCCCTCATTTGAATTTAATTAAATTTGCCTTTTCAAACCCATTTCTGCTAACATTGCCTTTATCTATCGTCCCCCTGGTTCCCCTCTCCTCTTCCTTGACCACTTTGCTGCGTCGCTTCCCTACTTCCTCTCCTCTAATATTCCATCCCTAATTCTTGGGGACTTCAACATTCCCATTAACATACCCTTGTCCTCAGTAGCCTCAAAACTACTTTCAATGACCTCCTCCCTTGGGCTATCGCAGTGGGCTAAGTCTCCCACCCATGTAGCTGGCAATACCCTTGATCTTATTTTCTTGCAAGAATTTTCTTGCATGAATTCAGATATAAATACCAGTAATAATAATAATGATAATAATCATTAGTAGTGATGAATCTGGTGATGATAATTCTATATCGGGCATCACTGAAGACATAGAACTTTTACCCAGGAGCTATTTGGCTGTGAGTATTATGAGCCAGAAGATTTAGAATCAATAGAAAAACTACCACGGCAAGAGGACAGTCTTAAATCAGAGGGGCAAAGGATTAAAAATAATATCAGAAAGTATTACTTTACTGAGAGGGTAGTGGATGCATGGAACAGACTTCTAGCTGAAGTGGTAGAGGTTAACACAGTGAAGGAGTTTAAGCATGCGTGGGATAGGCATAAGGCTATCTTAGCTATAAGATAAGGCCAGGGACTAATGAAAGTATTAAGAAAATTGAGCAGACTCGATGGGCCGAATGGTTTTATCTGCTGTCACAGTCTATGTTTCTCTGTTTCTTTTGAGAAGACAGACAGAAGCCCAGTATTTTCTCCAGCATCTTGTCAACCATCTTCAAGTACATTTTTATCTACTGTACTTGTCGCAACTATTTCATCCAATGAAAACAGTTGAGACATCAGCAGCACCTGCTGCCACTGGCACAAGTACACCCACTTTCGTTGTTAACATAGTCAGCACCACCACTATTACCATTATTACCACTATAATCGACATCACCAGTACTAGTACCATCATCATTTCCATTAGCATTGATTAATTAAGTGCTAGTTTGCATGAAAGTATTGCAACAACTTCCACTGCTACCAGTGCAAATTCATATTCATCTTCAACAGACATACGGCAAAGGGTTGAGAGTACATTTGCCATGCCAACAAAACAAACTTTGGGATTAATTTGAGAGCCTCAAAATTGGCCAACTTGCAAAGTACAATTTATGTGGCAAGGAAGTAAGTAGGGGCTAGTGAAGCGTCATTTCACAAGTGTCAGTATGAAACAACATTTGCAAATATATCACAAATCAAAATTACAGAGGGAAGAAGCAAAACAAGAAAGTACTAGGGCAGACAGCAGGTCCACTGTGCAGTTGTCAATGTTACTACATACCACCAGAACTACCTCATGATAGACAAATTATGTTAAATAGGTTGGAAGGACAGGCAGGCACCATTCTGCACATTGAGATCATTATCATCAACAGAGCTATTAACATGGTCAAAGCTTTGCAACAGGGTTCCTTTGTAGATGTGTACTGTCCTGCACAATTTATATTAAAGGATGGAATTCACAAAGCCAACACAAAGGTGCCAATTATACTTATGCATTGCAGCATTACAGAATGAATGCTGGTAATTTACATTGTAGTGTGAGAGGAAGTCAATGTTTCAGGCAGAAGTAAAAGATAACAGGGCTTCCCACACATCATCTAAATTGTCGGTATTCAGTGGAACTACACTTTAGACATCCTGGGAATCATTTAGGAACAACAGAGGACAATTTGTGGTCTATCTGAGATAATGTGTGTATGTCTGTGTGTGTGTATATATATATGATTATGTGTGTGTATGCATATGATTGTGTGTGTGTGTGTGTGTGTAGGTCTCTGACTATGTGTGTATATATTTGTTATTGTGTTTATATCTGTGATTGTGTGTATGTCTGTGATTGTGTGTATAGCTCTGTGATTGTGTGTGCGTGTGTGTGTCTGTAATTGCATGTGTTGTGTGTGTGGGTCTGTGATTGTGTATATCTGTGATTATTTGTATATTTGTATGTCTGTAATTGTTTAAATATCTGTTATTATGTGAATGCCTGTGATAATGTGTGTAGCTCTGTGATTGTATGTGTGTATAGGACTGTTATTACATTAATATTTTTAATTATAAAGTGCCAACACATGCTGTATTATATGTGTGTGTGTGTATATATGTATATTTGTGGTTATTTGTATATGTATGTATATGTGTATGTGTTTAGTAGATAGCTCCTAATTTGGTATCCTTAAATATGCAAATCTCACATAAAGATAACAAATAAAGCAGTTATCTACTAAACAAATGACATTTTAAAAAAGACTTTTAAAGTTTTTTTATATCAATTAATTATATTATATATTGTATGTGCGGCCCGAGACAATCCTCTTCGCTCAATGTGGCCCAGGGAAGCCAAAAGATTGGACACACATGCGTTAGATGTTCTAAAGACCCTCTCTCATTTTATCAATCCCTCTTCCTTGCATATGAGAAACACAGCACCGAAAATTAATCTGATTTACTGCAGTGTCATACATTTCTCTGAAAATAAGTAACATTCTTTTCAAGTCAGAATTGCTTCTTTCCTGATGTGCAGATTAATTTTATCACATGACAGGAGGCTTCCTATTTTGCATAACTCTCTTTACTAAACTCCACAGCAGTAAAGAAAGTGAAAATTTTTTACCAATCCAAAATGCAGTAGGGAGTATGATATTCCCAGTTAATAGGCTTCTCCTCCTCTTTCTTTACTGCTCCATCGCAGACAGGTCAGAGTTTTTGGCTCTTCCCTTTATTAAGTATTTTATCTAGTACTTATTAGCTTTTTTTTATACTTCTGTGTATGTTTTACTGTTCATATACAACCTTTATTACTGTGTATTTAGTATCTCTTTCAAACACTTATTGGTCTTTTTGTATGCTCCTGTGTATATATTTTACTGTTCTACATACACTCCTGTGTAGATTTATAATCTCCTGTACTTCTATTACTTAGTTTTCTTGTCTGTTTTCCCCTTTTGTCACACTCCGCTTCCCGCCCTGGGGCGGACCTGCTCTATTCAGATTTCGGGTACCGCCGGAATCTCCCCTCACAGCCCAGTCCTCGCCATCCCTCGACGGCTCCCGGACTCACCCTCCCATTACATCCACGTCAGCGCACGAGGCAGCCATCTTTATTCTCGCATATCGCGAGACTGCGGCCCCCATCTTGCAGCACCCGCGAACACGATCACCACAGCGGAACACAGCTCCCGCTGTTCCTCACTACGGATCTGCGTTTTTTCCTCACATATAATATATATTCAGAGGTCAGTTATTTATATATATATATATATATCAAGATGTATCCAAGCACAAAAGGTTTTGATCACCCTGTGGCCACCTCTGTTTGCTCTGGGTGAGGCCCAGTATCATAAAATAAAGCCCAATACTGTGGTATAGTTCCTGCCCTGCTGGGGCAAGCTGACACTGCTAGTGCAGATACATGCTGTAAATACCCTGCTGGGGTTTTTAAACCTTTTGGTTTTTTCACTATATAAACCCTGCTGGGGTTTCCATACCACTACTATACCACAAAGATACCCTGCTGGGGTACTACATACCACATACCCTGCTAGGGTTATTTTCTGCATGTCTCAACAATTTACATGCTAATACAATGCCCTGACGGGGTCTTCGGGCCCCCGCACTGGGTCCAACAAACGGTACAGGGCTAGATCACTGCAGTGACTACAAATACAGCCTCACTGACCTCTGCCTTGTGCCACACCTATATATTACTGATTGACAAGATGGAAGCCTCTCAAACCACAGACTTCCAATAAATGAGACCGTAGCCGCCTCCATGGAGAAAGCTCTCTCCAAAATGATGGCCTCTAACTCTGATAAGAGGAACCATCAATATCCCACCAATCCTGCCACGACTCAGATTCTGAAGCACCAGAATCTCACAAGAGCCTTGAACCCCATACTGACAAACACCACTGGAAAGGGGAAAAGGGGCACCAGAACCCAACCAAGGGTAAGACCCCTGCCAAATGTCACAAGCCCTCTATGGTCACCACCCCGACCTTACAACACGAGAACTCCTCAGATGAGGACGACACTCGCACAAAGTCCATGGCCGTTTTGGATGAATGGCAAGCAGATGAGTCAGACTCACAAGACAATGCATGGGGCTCAGACTCCGGGTCTCAACCCGGCTTCTTGCAAAACACCTTACTGGGGGACTCCCTGGATCCTGACACCGCGGACACCCCGCAGGAAGACCCCATCTTTGACCATCGGGCCACAGACTCTTTGACCCGAAAAACATACAACATCCATGCTCAGGGGACTGGACACCCCCTGATCATGTGGCAAAATTTATGCATCTCTGGCTGCGTAAATCCTTAGACAAGACCGTCCGCAATCGGCTGCGGTCAGAATGCCCACGACCTTCGCTACCCGATCATGTCGCAGAGACACCTGAATTCGATCAGGTGATGACCACCTTTATGTCCCGAGGTGGCCGCGACCCCTGCAAAGGGGTGGAAAAGGGTTTCAGAGGGGTACAGGACAAACTACTGGACTCAGTGGGACCATTAGCCAGAGTCATGTATTTAGCTGACGATGCCCTTGCTAGAGCAGACCAATTTGACGCAACCATGGTGCGCGAATGGGCTCATGATGTGCGGGAGTGGGCACAAAGTTGCTTTTGCTTTGTGGGTAATGCAAATGTCACCTTCTCCTCCGAGCGGCGCAAAGCGGCACTACTCCGTATTGACGGAAAATTGGTGGAATTGGGCACCAAATAACTAGGTCCATTGGCACAGGGCAAGCTATTTGGAGACCCTTTCCTTAAAGAACTAAACAGGCACGTTAACGTGTTTACATCTCTCCTCAATGAGGAGAGTCTTCAGACAAAACCCCACAGAGGTGTTTTTGGACGGGTTGGCCGCCAAAGGGGCCATGCTGCCAGCCGTTTCTGGCCTTCGGGCCCCCGCACTTCAAGGCCCCAACCTTTCTACTCAGAAGTGGGATATCGCCAACCATTCTCCTACACCTGAGGTGCTGACAGAGGTCGTGGACCACGTACCCAAGGCAGAGCATGCTTCTCTACTGGTAAGCAATCATCTAACACATTTTTCCCTCCCACTTCGTACAGCAGGTCGCATCTCTCTGTTTTTTCAGGAATGGACGACCATCTCCGCGGACGCATGGGTCCTACAAACGGTACAGGGCTAGATCATCGACTTTGTAGACCACTCACATCAAAGGGACCTACCACATCCCATCAACTGTTCAACAGAAGATCGCACCCTCATACACAACGAGTTGCAAGAACTATATTTGAAAGGTACAATCGAACCCGCCTCCAGTCCCGGAGGTTTCTTTAGCAACATATTCTTGGTGAAGAAGAAAACGGGAGAATTTTGCCCTGTCATAAACCTGAGATGACTCAACGAATACGTCACATACAGGCACTTCAAGATGGAAGGCATACATCTTCTGAGGGACCTGTTACAAGACAAAGATTGGTTCACAAGGCTAGACCTAAAGGACACTTACCTCTCAGTACTCGTCCACCACTCCTGCCAGCAATTCCTACATTTCCTCTGGCAAGACCTTCCCTGGCAATTCACGTGCCTTCCCATCGGCCTCATGTCGGCCCCATGGTGCTTCACCAAATTACTGAAGCCTGTGGTTGCTCATCTTTGAACACTAGGAATTCGCTGCATTATATACCTGGACGACCTCCTGCTATTCTGCTCTGACAAGTCCAAACTGGTACAGCACACACACTATACCACAGATCTACGATTGTCCCTTGGCTTCGTGGTGAACTTCCAAAAGTCGGCCATCCACCCATCTCAAACAGTGCAATTTTTAGGATTTGAAATAGATTCCACCACCAGCACGCTACGACTACCAACGTCAAAGATTTCGGCCATCCGCAAGGAACTACGCAGGGCCATTCGGTGCCACATCATCCCACTCCCTGCCCTCGCCCGACTGGTGGAACTCCTTTCAGCTTCCATACAAGCTATCTTCCCGGGCCCACTCCACTACAGGGTGATGCAACGACTCAAGGCGTCCTTCCTCAGACATAATGTAGACGCATACCCACAACCATGGCCGAACACGGGAGCATACGCTTTCCCTCCCTTTGCCATGATAGCAAGGACCATCCACAACCTGAAAAGTCAACAGGTCTCTCTATTGCTCATCACTCCCTTATGGAGGGGACAACCATGGTTCCCGGATCTCCTGGCACGATCATACAGGGATCCCCTCCTACTGCCTCATCATCCGTACCTCCTCACGGATCCGAAAGGCAATCCTCACCCGCTAATCCTGGACAATCGACTCACTCTGGTGGCTTGGGCTCTTTCTGGGGTGCCTGGCAAGTCAGCGAACTGGGCTCCAGGAACCAGAAGATGCTTCCTATCTGCTTGGAATTCCTGGTCCACTTGGTGCATGGAACGGAACCTTGATTCCCTTTACAACCACTATTCCAGCCGTGTTGTTCTCGACAGGGCGATCATACAGATCACTTAACGTAGTCCGTTCCGCTATCCCGGCAGCCCACTTCCCCATACTAGGGATCCCGGTGGGAAATGACCCACTGGTGTGTCGACTACTAAGGGGCATCCGACTACAGCGTCGTCCAGGCCCCAAATATTCACAGTTTTGGGACGTAGACGTGGTTCTCAGTTTCCTGAGAGACTGGCCGACTAATGACAGACTTTCACTCACGGTTCTGCTTTGTCTAGTGTCTTTCCACAGAGTTTTGGACGTTCGGGCGTTTGACATATATGCATGTTCAGTCCCCCCGGAGGGAGTCACGTTCCGAATATTCCATTGCACAAAATCGGACTCTACATCAGGTTTCTACCCTTTCTTCACCTTGGATCCACAACTTTGCGTCGTATCCACCCTACAACGGTATGTGGATGTTAGGCTACCGATTTGAACCTCATCCTCAGGCCAACTCCTGGTATCATAGGTTAGAAAACACGTTCCCATTTTAGTGACCACCCTTGCCAGATGGGTTCGTTGGATACTGTCTCTAGCAGGCATAGACACTTCTTTCAGGGCCCACTCGGTACGCGGCGCGGCAGCTTCCTCGGCTTTTGCGGCGGGTGCATCGCTATCGGATATCCTACATTTTGCGGACTGGTCAAGAGAATCCATGTTCCGCACATTCTGCTGCCACCCGAAACCCGCAGTGGCCATGTCACTCATACAACAGCGTCAAAAAATGAAAAAAAAATGGCTTCAAAATAGGAAGCCTCCTGTCATGTGATAAAATTGAAGATTATGCTAGCGCTAGTGTACCTATAATCGTAATTTTAATAATGACAGGAGGCGACTATTTTCCCACCCTTTCCCACCCGGGGAAGAGGGGAATCTCTGAGTAACAGTAATGTTTACAATTTATTATACCTGCCCCCATGCTAACCTGTATATGTTTAGATTGTCACCACACTTAGTTATGGTTAGTTAGAATTGTCATGGTACAGCCAACCTGTAATCAGAATATTGTAATACTACTCGATGGGTCGCTATTATTGCTGCAACCAGTTTGAGACCGGTACCTAACCCATTTCACATTCTCTTTCAGAAAAATTTCAAGAGAGCATGGAACAATGGCAGGAAACTATCCAGATTACTGCGCAGTCCATGAAGACCATCATCCATGTTGGATCTTTCCATCGTTGATACTTGTTACCGATTTTCCTCAAGACCATCGTCCTATTGGATTTTTCACCAGTTGGTGCCCGTTTACAGACTCTATATACTGACTTTCTTCCCTGTTCACGATGTCGCTTCCGAAAGTGGGGGAGGAGCCTATTTACTGGGACTATCATACTCCCTACTGCATTTTTGATTGGTTAAATGTTTCACTTTCTTTACTGCTGTGGAGTTTACTAAAGAGAGTTATGCAAAATACTTGCCTCCTGTCATTATTAAAATTAAGATTATAAGTACACTAGCGCTAGCATAATCTTCAATTTCCAGTCAAAATCTAAAACTTGGTGTACTAATTCCTTCACTCTTCCATTACATTGCATTATAAAAGGGCTAATTCACTAAAATGCTATTTTAAAAAAGATAGGACCTTTGTCTTGGAAACTAACACATTTCTGTATCCAAAATAGACCCTATGGAAAGATTAACTAGAGAAATGTATACATATTTCTATATAGCATTTGCCATATAAAACTATGGAAAGATTAACTGGAGAAATGTATACATATTTCTATATAGCAT